GCCGCTGGGCAGCGGGGCAGGGCGAGCGGCGGCCCGCCCTGAGGGGGATCGGCCCCAGCCAAACCCCGCCAGGCAGTGCGGGTAAAGCCACCCTCCGCCCTCACGCAGCACACACCTGACACCCACACCTGCCCGGGAGTGGGGGGGAAGCAGGGGCACTCCTAGGAAAGGTTGCTCATAGCTCCAGAGATCCTAGGGCCACGGTTCCCACCACAGGAGGCGGCAAACTCCAAGGCACCGGCACATTTACTGCGCTATAACTAAAAAAGACTGTCATGTGCATGTGCACACACTGCGCCTGTACTGCACGGTAAATACGGTGACTTATACTGACCCTGGATCATGCAGGTATCAAATGTACACCCCATTAATGACGCACATGTAGACACCTTACTGCGCAGTAACACTGCCCGTGGGCTGACTCGGGACTAACTGCAGTCCCAAGCCGGTCCACACGCAGCGTTACTATGCTTTAACACCTGCACATGTAGGTGCCAGAGGAAGCCCACTACTGCCCAGTAAGTTACCACACACTAATGTAGCACGCAAATGTAGTCTGACCATGGGATGAAATCCCTTCCTGACCTCAAATATGGCCATGTCTGACCCTGAATGGAGCAGCAAGACTAGCCAGGAGCCTCCAGATTTAAGTCTGAGCAGAAGCATTGGCACATCCGGGTCAAAAGCCCCAGCTTTGGGTATAGCTAACACCCAGTGCCTCTGAGGAAGACTTAGAAACATCCTGACATAGGTAGCAGAAAGTAGGGAGAGGGCGAAAGAGGGCAACCAGCAAAGCCAGAAGCACAGGACATGCCCAGAGCACTGATGAGGGGGTGGGGGGCATGTGAGTTTGACACCCTAGCCTTAAAAAGGCAGTGAGCTGGGTTAGTGTGGAGTCAGGCAGAAGGTGGGCAGAGAGGCAGCACAGAGATTTGCTGGTTCGGAGGCAAAAACTTCCTGATCTACTTAAATGCCTGAAATCAGCTGGCACCTAGGGAAGCTCATACCTCTTTGAGCCAGTGAGTTTCTAAGGTGCCTTCCTGCCCTGCCTTCTGCCTCCATCTTAGAAAGCCTCAGGTGACTCAGTAGCTGGGAGGTGTTGGAGGGTAACTCAGGGGCAGGACAGTCCATTGAAAAGAAAAAGGCTGAAATTACTTGTCCATTAAATCAGTAAAAAAATAATGAGCTGGCCAAAAAGCCAGGAGCTTGATTGTCAGTTTGTTGCCAGCATGAGGCTAGATGGACAGATAGGGCAAAGCAGTGCCACCCTGTATCTGAGTGACCGTATCACAGCGCCCTGCAGGAAGCTTCCCATCAGGGCTTTGTGACCCATAGAGAACCTAGAGCCCCTCTCCTTTTCCTCAGCCACATGCTGCCACTGCATCCCATCAGCCATTACCTGCCTGAAATGGCTGCTTAACTGGGTGTCACTTCTTATTTAATGGTTACAATTTTCTCTAAGGTTGTGTGTTTCTCCCTTTCCTCCCCCGTAAAAAACCCAGTTTTAATTGAACATTGCTTGTGGAGGAGGGGAGTTTGTTCACTTGAGACTACTGAGTTAAAATTTATTTTCCCAGATTTTTGGTAGGTGCTCAAGCCAGATTTAGAAAATCGGTGATAAACACTTGAACCCAGCCTGAGTTACTGCTGTCCAGTAATGGATGGTCCCTGCTCAGAGGCGCTGACTCAGCCACTGACCTGCAGTGTGGGGCACCTGAACTTCAGTTTCCCCATCTGTGGCATAGGGTTAGTGTGATTTTCATTCCTAAAGTGGCTTGAGAATTGCAGATGAAAAAAAATGCTACAGCTGCAAAGAAAAACCAACAGCAGTGTGGCAGGTGAATGGAATTTGGTTGAGCTCCAGGCACAAACCAATGCCCAGGTTCTGCAAACAAACCTGTATGGCTCGATCAGCTCCATTACCAGGAATAAAATTATACTTCTGTTTATGGGTATAGTCCTGTATGCTCATGGGTCCTGGTGGGTTGCTGCATCTGAGCCCAGTTCCATGGGAGCTAGCAGAAGTGCTCCCTGCACATAACGACATACATGGCCAGGGTTAACATGTCTGCAAGACTCAGGCTCAAGCTGTACACTTCACTTTTGTAAAGCAAAGTTATGGCAACAGGTCTACTCATTTAGTAACACAGATGGCAGTTTTAATTCTAAAAATAGTGTGCCTTTAAAAGGATGCTCCCAAGCAACTTACATACCAGAACTAATCAACAAATTCATGTCCATCTCTGCCTGGCAGCCCATCAGGTTAGTATGGCTAAGGCACACCAGTCCGTAAGCAACAGCACATAATGGAGTGATGTGGCAGAGTGGGTGCATCTACATGTGCAAAGGCTGCAGGGTGAGTTTACTCTAGAGTAAATTACTCTAGAGTAAACCCATCCCGGGCAGGCGTCTACGTTTGCGGAGATTCGGGACCAGATTTGCTGCTCCTGGTAGCAGTCTGCTTCTGCCCACTCTGGCTCTACACTAGCTCCCTGCAGCAAGCAGGGGCTGGCAGGGAGCACGGGGCCAGGAGACAGCTGTCTCCTGGTGGGGGCTGGGAGATTGCACCCTGCCCCAGAGCCCTTCCCGCTTCACTGGCAGAAGGGAGCTCCTGGCCTTGGATCCCCAATCAGGAGCAGGGGGCTTGGAAAGAGCTGCTGGGGAGGGGCAGGTCCCAGCCCCCTGCCCTGATCCGCCAGTGGGACAGATAGCAGCAAGCCCCCGACTGGGCAGGGAATCTGCTAGCTGCCCCACCATCAGATGGGGCAGGGGACTGGGACCTGTCCCTACCCTGAAGCTTTTTCCAAGCTCCACACTTGGATTATCTGATCAGGGCACGAGAGTGGGAACTGCCCCTGACCAGGACAGTTTCTGGCCAGCCACAG